TACGTGCAGGGCACTCCTAAAGGCAAGTTTTCTCCCCCCGTTCCCCCCATTTCTCTTCACCTCGTGTAGTTTTAACGAACGATGTGAGAAATGGCGGGGAAACGCATGGATTAAATAGGCCTAAATTTTGGGGGTAGGGTTTAATTTCACCTCATGCCTAGAAATCATGCTGGGCCTTCCTATTGGTGGAGGCCGTATTGTTGGAGAAACAGGGTATATGTATATGTATATGTATATGATGTATATGTATATGTATATGTATATGTATAATATATATATATTGCAGAATTGCAAGACAAACCAGTGAATTTATATACATGTTTTTAAAACAACTTGAAATATTATCAACCATTAAGTAGCCAGTTCAACGTTTCAAGACTTGGTCCTTAAAGTTTAAAGTAAATATTTACAGAGTTATTTGGCAGAGCCTACTGCATAAAAATAAATGGTACCATAACTATTAAACCAACAATCTCAAAATTTGGAAGAGGGTTGCATTCATGTTTAGTTGTAGCATAATTGAGCCACACCTGAGAGGAGAATCAAGTTCTTTCAGGGAAATAGGAATTTAGGAACTAGGTATGTCTAAGCCTAATGAAGAGAAGAGAAGGATTGGGGAGGGAGGGGATGATAGCAATCTTTATTTTATTTTTATTTATTATTTATTAAATTTATTGGCCATTCATCTTACTACAGGGTAACTCTTGGTGGCTTACAACATTAAAAAGGTAAAATAATAGCAAAATAGATAACATAATAGTAGCTTTTGCTAGTGTTAATTTGTTTATGATATTCCTTCCTTCCTTCACCTTCCTCTCTCTCTCTCTCTCTTTCTCTTTCTTTCCTTCCTTCTTTCTTTTGATGCTTGTAGTCAGAGGTGGTATTCAGCCAGCGTGGACCGGTTCTGGTGTACTGGTAGCGGAAATTTCAGCTAGTTTGGAGAACCAGCCAATACCACCCCTGGCTGGCCCCGCTTGTCCGCCCTGCTCTTTCCTGTCCTTTATTCTATTGATTTTTAGCTCAACTGATTTGCATGGCAGACTGGATTGCCACACCTCAGCTGAGCTAAAAAAACAGCTCAGGTGTTCTTTGAGTGCTGCGTGCGCAAAGCCCACAAACTGATAGCACACATTTTGGAATCCCACCACTGCTTGTAGTGTTCCACTTGATCACTTTACGTATTTTTTATAAAACAGATGCCCTATTTGTCATTAAGTCAGGATCCAAAAGGTATACAACAGTCACAACTTACCATCACCACAGCAACTCCAATGCCAACAGCTGCAATCAGATTCAACTTGTTTTTGAAGAAGTCTTCAATAGCTTTAGGGCATGGCTGGAAGAAAAAAGAATTGTATCCTTTGATTTAATTGCACACTCAAAATATTTTGGATGACATTTTTGTAATACTCTTGCTTAAGAGTTCCGTGTTCTGGCTGCACTTAAATCGGTTCTTCTGCCCTACTTTCTGAATTGAGAAAGAGAGAGAGAGAGACAGAGGGAGAGAGAAAGAAAGAAGGACAAAAAGAAAGAGAAGCACAGGAGGTGAGTAAGAGAAAGAGAGGGAGAGAAAGGAAAGAGAAGGAGAGAAACAGGGACAGAGACAGCTAGAAAGAAAAAGAAAGAGAAAGAAAGAGGAAGACAGAAAGTGAGTAAGAGAAAGAGAGGGAGAGAGAAAGGAAAGAGAAGGAGAGAAACAGGGACAGACACAGCTAGAAAGAAAAAGAGAGAGAAAGAAAGAGGAAGACAGAAAGTAAGAGAAAGAGAGAGAGAGAGAAACATAGGAAAAAAGGAGAGAAAGAGAGACAGACAACAAGAAAGAGAAAGAGAAAGAGAAAGAGAGAAAGAAAGAAAGAAAGAAAGAAAGAAAGAAAGAAAGAAAGAAAGAAAGAAAGAAAGAAAGAAAGAAAGAAAGAAAGAAAGAAAGAGAAAGAAAGAAAGAAAGAAAGAAAGAAAGAAAGAAAGAAAGAAAGAAAGAAAGAAAGAAAGAAAGAAAGAAAGAAAGAAAGAAAGAAAGAGGAAGACAGGAAGTGAGTAGAGAAAGAGGGGGAGAGAGAAAGATAGGAAAGAGAAGGTACATGGTATCCTTTCAAGCATGTGAAGAGTGCTGTATTATACTGTATACAGCCCTACCAACATCTTTTGCAGGCAAAACACTCCAGCTAATTCAAATCTCTCTTTGGAAGACTTCCTTGGGCTGGCCTGTCCCAATTCCCCTGAATCCTTTGGAAGTCCAGTGCCCAAGCAGGCACCGCATCCAAGGTGGGGTTCGACCCATCCAGAACAAAGCGGAACGCTAAAACATTGATCTCTCATCTCTCTTTCGCTCTCCCAGACTGGACTTTGAAACAAAACTTCCAATTGCCACCTTCCCATTCAAAGATTGAAGAAGTGGCATTTCCCACCCAGTCTCCACTCTGAAGATGTTCATCCTAGGTGACAATAAACCTCAGGGGCGGGGGGGGGGCTGCTGGGGGTTCTCAGGGGTTCGGGAGAGCCCCTAGCTAAGATTCTGTGCAGTTCAGACAACCGCCCAAATCCCACTTCTGGCTGGCCCCACCCACTTCTCCCCTCCCCTCCCAGGAATCCCCCCGCGGCCCTTTTTGGGTGCAGGTAAGTGCAGGGTGTGCACGGAGGCTAGGGGATGGTAAAAAATGGGCCTACCGGAAGTTTGGGACCCGTTTCCAGCCTACAGAGGGCCTTTGGAGCCCGAGGAGGCCATTTTCACCATCCCAGAGGCCCGAGGAAAGCCTCCGGAGCCCGAGAAGGGCAAAATCGCCTCCCCCACCATGGTGCAGGAGGCTGACTAGGCCACGCCCATCATAGCCACGCCCACCCAGCAATCGGGCAGAGAACCCTTTGCTAAAATTTTTGTAGCTGATCCCTGCTGGGGTGGGGGGGAGTTGCCCTTGGAATAGATGGATTATTTTGAGGAAGATGGGAATTAAACCTTCCCCCTTCTGTTTGCGAACACTCGCTTACAATTCTTACAAATTGCAATGGACACTTTCATTCACAACCACCTTTGTTCCTGCACGCACAAAGACCTTGATAGCTTTGGGAAGTGGAATTAGCACTCAGATCCTTGGACCTTCTAACCCAATATAAGCACAAAATACAATCTGCTTCTTTAAACAAACCAACAAAAATAAATAAATCTGACAACGCATGATATCGAGAAGTCAAAATACAAATTTACACTTTCTGCCCCGATACGTACCTTGGGGTTTTCAGGACAGGTATCCTGATAATCAGGATCGGGAACACCAGACGGACCACAGCAATTCAACTACAGCAAAAAGAAACACTTGAGTTGTTTTTTTGGCAGGGGTTTGCTCTCCAACCTTTTTCAATTTAATTTCTGAACATTTCATCACCAGACTAGGTAATGGCATCAGCAGGATTGTCATGCCCCAGCATATAACTTTTATATACTGTTGCTATTCCCTAGCCCCATCTAGTGGCCAGAGGGACAAATATGCCCTAACAAACAATCTTTATATACTGTTGTTTCTCTCTAGCTCCATCTAGTGGCCAGGGAGACAAATACCAAGTATATTGTTTGAAGCTGGGTAAAGGGGTTGAAATTTGTTCAACCCCTTTACCCATCAGCCCGCACTCTCAAAACAAGTGCATGCTGGGAAGCTAGACTCCATTTCCTTTAGCATTTGGAGAAGGCAGAAGCACAAAGAAGAATCCATCTTAATCTGTGGAACATGGTCATCCAAGGACAAACCCACATCCCGCACACAAAGCATCGCTGGTGAGATGCTTATAACTTATTGTTATGTTCAGCAGTAACCCAATACTGCCTATCTTGTATTTGGTTCTCATTGTATGTATCCGTATTTTCCCCAGTTTCACCATATCCTGTTCTTCCAATAAAGCATCGAGATCTATGCACATGATCTGTTTTATTGGAGGATAGGTGGGCTGCACACAGACTAATGTGTAGTGAGGACAGAACAAGGATTTTCTGGCCCCATTCCTCTTTAACTTAACAATGTTTTGTGTGTCAGTGTAGTCAGTTGATTGTGTGATTCGTTTGGAGCTATATTTAAATTCTGAGCAGCCGATTGGTTCTCCAGATGGTCTAGTTTCTTACGTATTCATATGCTGGATTGAGATCAATATGCATGTTAATTGCTACTTTGGTAGACTATACCAGGCTTCAATAAATTCACATTTGTGGTATGGCCAATGATTTTAGTTCCTTCCCAATTGCATTGTTTATTATCGATGTGGTTTGAGATACGGGATTTTTGGACATGCCGTTTAACTGCTAACTGATGTTCATGACCCTTGTTGTTTGTCCAGAAACGAAGTGCAAGAACATCATTTTTCATGTCCTCACCCATCCAACAACTCTGCACCAATGTGACTGGGCATCCATAATGCACTGACGATATAAACCTGACTGAGGCACCCTTCCCCTGCCTCTATTTATTATTATTACTAGCTGGGTACCCATGTTTTGCTATGAAACTATGTGATCGGGCTTAGTTTTGGGGGAGGAAAATAAGGAGAGAAAAAATTCTGCCTCTGCCTACCAGCATCCATCAGTATTCATCTGGCTAGCATCCTGTCAGTGTGTGAGACAGTTGAGGGCTGTTTGGAAACTGAAGCAGTATTTGCTGTGTGAGCAAGGAGGAGACAGCAAGGAGCCTGGGCGTGGCTTAGCTCAACTGTTCTGTACTAAAGCTGCTTGGTGCTGTGAAACTGAAACTGAAACTCCTCTGCTTGTGTTTTGTATTTGGAAGAGATTTCTTTTCAGGTGGGGAGAGGGTGTAGAACTCCTTAGCATCAGAGCGTGTTAATAATCATAAATGAAATGCTAATGTTCTGATGGTCATTTTGAACAATTCTTTCTTAGTGAGCACCTAGAAGCCAAGTGTGAGCACCTAGAAGCCGTGTGTGTGTGTGTGTGTGTGTGTGTGTGTGTGTAGAAACCAAGAACCAGGGTTGTTGGAATGAGAACAATTTTAATCTGGCCTTCCCTTGAAACTGCTCTCTAAGAAACACCCTGCCCAGAATTAAGATTAAAGATGCAAATCAAACATAAACTTACTGCGTAATGGAAGGTCTTCAGACTGCTTTTTACTTTTATGTCTTTCCTTTTCTCAAATAAGGTGTCATAGAAACTCTGCATTTCTTTAGGGAGCTGGCAAAACAGAAGATACAGGAGAAGAATTGTAGCTGAGGGTTAAAACGAAGGGGTCCTTGGTTGCTCTCTGACCTTGATCGTTTTCTTGCAGACATTTCCTTACCATACTAGGAAACATCCTCAGTGTTACATTGGACAGTGAGAACAATTAACAGCTTGCCATAAGAAGTTGTGGGTACTCCATTACGGGAGGTTTTTAAGAAGAGATCAGGCAGCCATGTGTCCAGAATGGTATAGGGCGAACCAATGGCACGCGTGCCAGAGGTGGCATGCAGAGCCCTCTCTATGGGCATGTGCGCCGTTGCTAGCTGCTCTTCTGCTGGCGCACACATGCACGCTAGCCAGCTGGTCTTTGCAGGTGCCAGAGTACCAGAAAACAGCCTGGAAAACAGCCTGAAAACACCCCAAAAGCGGTCTGAAAAAAGCCTGGAAATGGCCTGGAAAATGGTCTGAAAACAGCCTGGAAATGGCTGGAGAAATGGCCCAAAAACAGCTGGAAAATGGCTGGAAAACAGCCTAGAAATGGCCCAGAAAACAGTCCAAAAAACGGCCCAGAAATGGCCCAAAAACAGCCTGAAAATGGCCTGGAAAATGTTCCAAAAATGGCCCAGAAATGGCCCAAAAAACAGCCTGGAAATGGCCTGGAAAAGGGCCCAAAAATGGCCCGAAAAATGGCCTGGAACCCCTCCCCCCAAATGCCCAGTATATCCATACTCTATAATATGCATCTCTCAGGTCTATTTTAGTGAAGGAGCATTTACACCTTCTCCCTTCTTCATCATCCAACACACAATAAATTCTTGAAGTTATCAGGAGAGGTATATTTGTTTCTGGCTTCCTTGAGTCAGAAAAACAATGTAAAACAGAATAACACAACTGATCCGGTCAATTTTGGATGCCTTTAGAGTTTTGTTAGATACAGATACAGATAATCAGAGTTGGAAGGGACCTTGTAGGTCATCTAGTCCAACCCCTCGCCCAAGCGGGAGACCCTGCACCATTTCTGACAGATGGGAGTCCAATCTCTTTTTGAAAGTCTCAACTGATGGTGCTCCCACAACTTCCGAGGGCAACTTCTGTTCCATTGGTTGATTGTTGTCATCCGTTTGAACTGTGGCTCCCCACACCCACACCCACACTCCAAACCTTGAGGACACACTGCAAAATTTCTAAAGGATAAACACAGTATAAGTTCTCCTACCTTTTCTTTGTTTGAAAATCCCCAGATGGCAGCAGCCACTTCAAGAGCAAAAATGACGAGAAGGAAGGTGAAAAACTAAGGAGGAACAAGGAAGACAAAGAGATATTCATAATGATTGAACACTTTGGACCAATGCAGAAGAATTTACTTAACCGTCTTACAGTTCCCGTGATACATTAACACTGAATGCACTTTGGATGTTTTGTCTTGGCTGCACAAGCAAAGGCTTTCATGGATGAGTCAAGTTACTGTTAGGGTAGGCAGATGGGCTGAAAGTAAATATTTTGGCATATAATGATGAGAAGAACATCATTTCATGTTTATATGGCCTTTCCTTCTGAAGACATTTGGAGCAGAGTAACCCCCCCCCCCCCAAAAAAAGGCTAACAACCAACTCTAAGAACAGTTTGATAAAAGCGATTGTCCAAACAAGCTCCTTTAAATTCAGCAAATCAATGAGAGTCTTAAAAGGGCAGTAAAATAGCAGCCATTCACCAAGATGAGGACAGAGCTGGACAGGGAGTAGTGTCCTGCCATGTAGAAAGGAATAAGGACTCCTGCCTTGGACAGGTGGTTGGACTAGAACAGGGGTCACCAACCTTTTGGACCTCAGGGACCACCAAACTCACAATTTTAAATCCCACAAACCAGAGACCCTGGGAAAATCCCCCAAAAGGTCTGCAGGAAAATTCCCCACCCTGTTTTATTACTGATCAATCATTCTTTATTTGGGATCGCAGGATACTGTCTCCAGCTCCGTTCTCAGAGGGAAAGAGAGAGACTTTTGGCTTCATGCAAGAAAAGCAGCAGAAGTCTTTCTTTCTCTCCATCAAATTCCGCCAGAAATGAGTCTTTGTGAGACTTGTTGCCCCGGTGCAGCCTCGTGGAGCAGGAGGCCTTGCAGGGTCCCAAAGACTCATTTCTGGTGGAGTTTGGGGGAGAGAAAGAAAGACTTTTGCTGCTTTCCTTGTGTGCAGCCAAAAGCAGAAGAAGAAAGAAGCAGAGAGAAGCAGCCCGGTGGCCAGGCCGGCGCGTGGGGTGAGTGGGGCAAGTTCCCCCCCACTGCCCTTTCCCCCCTCCCCTCACTACCTCGTGTTGTTCGCAATGCAAGCGATGCAAGCCTTGTGTTCCCGCAGGCCATGTGGGTGGCGCAACCTTGTGTTCCCGTGGAGCCTGGATTAATTGCTTTGGGGGTGCTTTGGGGGTGACATTTCTCTGCGGACCACCAACATTTTCTCGTGGATTACTAGTGGTTCCTGGCCCACTGGTTGGCAACTACTGGTCTAGAAGACCTCCAAAATCCCTTCCAGCTCTATGATTCTGTGCCCCACTATTTGGGGACACTGTTAGGACAGCCTCATTTTGTGGTCTTTGACACTGAAGCTTTCACGTCAATTTGCTAATGAGCTTGAATGGAGGAAAGGGTTTTCTGTTTGTTTTTTCTCTTGACATTGGGGGAATTTGGTCTCAACAGACAACTCTCTGGAGCTCGCAACATCCTTGGTTTGCTGTGATCCTTTGGAGGATTGAGAGTGGGGGGAAGTTAGTGCAACTCCTCTTAATGGTCACACAGGTCAAAAATAAAGATGGAAAACCTTTATCTTTATCTATGGAGATTCTCAGTCATCCTGGTCAGGGTTGTCCCAAAGGTGCTTTCTCTTCACGAGGTAACTGGACTTTCTGGTTTGTTTGTTCTTAAAGACATTTTGCTTCTCATCCAAGGAGCTTCATCAGCTCTGATTAGATGGTGAGGAATGGAAGGATTTGTATTCCTTGCAGACAGCTGGTCATTTGCATCCTTTTAGAGAGTTGTTGAGGCCACTTGGAGTGTCTGTGTCCTGAGTGGTGTAAGGGGGTGGTGGTGGAGCCTTCTCGGAACTGCTGAAAGGACTGTGTTTCTGTAGGATGTTTTCTGCTCTGTGTCCCTTCACTGTTGAACACAGGTGCAGGCTGTTGGGGAACACAGACAAACCTCCAGGTGGCCTCAAGGACTCTCTAAAAAGAATGCAAATGACCAGCTGCCTGCAAGGAATATAAATACTTCCATTTCCCACCATCCAGTCAGAGCTGAAGAAGCTTCTTGGATGAGAAGTAAAACGTCTCCAAAGAAAAACCAGAAAGTCCAGTTGCCTCTTGGAAAAAGTGCCTTCGGGACTTTGTCTTAATCTTTTTTTTCCCCAGGTTTTGTCTTTTTTTTTCCTCAGGTGAGGAAAGCTTACTTTGGTTTTTCCAAGTCTCAACCTGGATCTGAGCTTCCAAATTGATCTCTCACTCTCCCCCTCCCTCCTTCCTTCCCTCCCTCTCTTTCTCAAATAATCTGGACCAAGATCACACCATCGTCTTTGCAAAAGAACTTTCTGCAAATACAGTATGCAAATAGGAACCAGTTCTGTGGCACAAACAAAATCCTAACACACATCACTCGCTGCGTTTAGAGTCTCTCTGGGCCATGTGTAATGAATTAAACATGTTTCCTTGGCTCTATTTTTAGACTGGGGGGGGTGGAGCGAAAGCTCCAGAAATGAAATGGTCCAACTTTAAGGCAGCATCTCGCCCTGATGTGTGTGTTTGTGTGAAGACTTACCAAGCCAAGCATACACTGGGACTCCCGTATTGCTCCACAGCATCCCAAGAAGCCAACCAGCATTATGAGGGCACCAGCAGCGATGAGAATGTAAATCCCTATGGAGGAAAAGGAGGAGGAGGAGGAAGAGGGGAGAAGAGGAAAAGGAAGAGGGAGGAGGAAGAGGAGCAGGAGGAAAAAGGGGGAAGGAGGAGGAGGGAGGAGGAGCAAGAAGGAAGAAGGAGAGGAAAAGGAAAAGGGAGGAGGAGGAAGAGAGGAGGAGGAAGAAGGAGAAAAGGAGGAGGAGGAAGGAGAAGGAGAAAAGGAGGAGAAGAAGAGGAGGAGGAAGGAGGAGGAGGAAAAGGAGAAAAGGAGAGGAGGAGGAAGAGAAAAGGAGGAGGAGAAGAGGAAGAAGGAGGAGGAGGAAAAGAAGAGGAGGAGGAGGAGGAGGAGGAGGAGGAGGAGGAAAAGGAGAGGAG